AGGAGAGCTTCAAGGTGACCTGCGTGGGCACCGGATGGATAAATAATTCACACTGCATACAGTACTTAAATAAGTCATGCTATTTGAATAATGTTATTTTAATAAAAATCCCTGGGTGAGGAGGAGGCAATTAGCACGAAGGGGCAAGCACCAGATTTAAGAGACCGGCAGGAGAGAGGCTCCTTCGTCAGGAGGCTTATATTGAACAGCATTAAGTAGATATTATTCAAGGATAAAATGGATATATGGGAGGGACAAACCTAAAGCCCACAGAAATCAATGCGAGTCTTTCCACTGACTTCAAAGGGCTTTGGATCAGGCCCTTGGTTCTCCACCCCTAGGACACCTTCAGCTGTTATAGATCTAAACTGACCCAACCCCAATCTTATTTCTAGGGCTAACCACTATGTCTAGGGTAATATGTCTATCTGTGTTTAACCTCTTAGTCTTTATCTAGTTTCAGTAGCAAATCACAGCCACTTGGAGTCTAATTCCTTATGAAATCTCTCAAATCCCTCCTCTCTTGTTCATTTTGAAGTCATAAACCAATTAGAGGCCTGATACTGCAAAGCCTTGTTTCTTTCAGCAGCCCCACTGCCGTCAGCAGCTCTACTCATGTGAGTCAGGACTACTCACTCATTTATACATACAAGAGTTCCTCTGTTCCCTAACAGGCCGTCCTGCACTCATGGGCATAGAAGTTAGCAGGATTGGGCCCTACAGTTTTAATTCATTTTAAGTTGCTTACTCTGTGAAGCATTTCCACAGTACAGTGCTTGCTCATAATTCCTTAGTCTGAAATCTGGCTGTTCATTGCAAAGCAAAACGAACTGGAGAACCCTCCGCGTTTTACAGATGGCAAATACCTTAGAAGTCAGCCTCCCCGCTACACTTATGACTCTTAACAGCCTCAGCTGACTTACCTGAAGACAGTCTGTGCTGCCTGGCAGAGCCCTTCCCCGGCTTTGCAGGGAAGCGAGGCTCCCTGTGCTCTCCTGCTCAGACTGACTCTGGCTGAGAGGAGGTGAGCAAGACATACTTGCCCAACGCTACCAAACCATCAACAAATGGGCAGGGAGGCAGCAGAAAGGGCCAAGGAGTGAGAGGCTTCATCTCCCTTCCATCCTGTCCCATAGTAGCAAGCTGGGCACACAGGGAGGAGTAAGCCACTCTGCACCCCAGGGCGCTGGTACAGCCCCCCCCTTTCACGTTGGTGTTTACAGGGATGGACTGACTATATTGTGTAAGTGTATGGTGGGTATAGCTAACAGCAGCGGCAGATGTGCTTCAGTACAGCTGCCAAGCATTGTTAGTTATTTACATTCAAGTAACAACCCCGCCCACGCCTGCCTATACAAGGCTCTGGGCACCCTAGTGCATAATTAGCTATTGGCTACTTTTTAAACAAAATGTCCTTTGGATGTTCCCAAATAAACCTTCTAAAGGGGATAACGTCACACGCAAATGCGAGCGCACGTGCCTCACGCCGCTGACCAGAACAAACGCCTCTAACAGTGCTTTAAAAACACGGAGAGGGGAAGGACCCGCTTCAGAGAGCAAGTTCCATCGTTTTGCTTCCACACTCCCACCACTTCTTCTATGGACCTCGTGCAATGCCTCTGCTCAAGAAAAGTAACGTACAAGCAGACAAGAGCCAGCCAGCTGCAGCAATGCTGGACTTGGAGTCCAATACGTTGCCATTATGAGCCTCATGCCTTGAGTTCTGGAGTCTGTGGGTCAGCTGCCTACCCTGTTTGAAGGATTCATCCTGTCCAATCAATAACAGCCACCCCGCACAGAGAGCCACGGCAACTTGAAGTCTTTAATTCATGACTTGAGGACTCCAATAACTCAGCCAGCAGTTAGGGGGCTATTATAGGAATGGGTGGGTGAGGTTCTGAGGCCTGCAATGTGCAAGAGGTCAGATTAGAGGATCATGATGGTCCCTTCTGACCTTAAAGTTTACAAGTTGATGAGAAGTAGCTCTTGAGATGCCACTGCAAATATCAAACCACATGTTGCCTCGCTGGCCACTAAAACAAAAGAGCTGAAGAGGAGTTGCCAGCAATGGACGACGAGGGTTAACATAAAGGGCCCAACCTTGGTCCCGCTGAAGCCAATAGGCGGCTCACCATTGACTGCAGCGGGAGCAGAACCAGGCACAAAATTAGCCATGGCACCTGGACCAGGTGATCTTCTAAAGGAGGAGGCACAGAATCTGATCCAAGCTTGACGAAATCAATGGGCTCAGGATCAGGTGTAAAGAGAAGAGCGAGGTAGAAAGCTGAGGAAGATACTGGAGAATAATTATAATTCTACTTTTCACTTCTGCGGAATCTTTCATCCAAGGAGCTCACACACACCAATTAATTAAAAACCCAACACCCCTATGAGGCTGGTAAGGGATACATAGAAATCACTTAATCCAGCATTATAAAACAGCTGAATGTGGGGTGGAACACATCAATGGTTTAACACTGCACAGCAACACGACACGATAGCTTAAAGCACTAAAGGAAAGAAGAATGCAATATACAATTGGAATTGCCAAGGAATACAGTTGGGGAGAATGTAAGTTTGGCCCGGACATTGGGGTAAACACTTCTACTCTTGCAAAAAAATACCAAGCAATCTTTAATGACCTCAAGTGACCAGGACCTCAGTTTTACAGCTTATCCAAAAGACAGCACCTTCAGCATTATAGTGCCACATCCTCCTCCTCTTGGACTCACTGATCTCATGTAGCAATGAGTTCTATGAAGGAGGCAAGGAATAAGGAGGAGAGAAAAATAATTAGGATGGGTGGAAAGGTCCATTCAGAAATACTCAAGGAAATAAGATGTAAAATGGATAACAATGTTGAATTATTTGGTTTAACAGACAAAGTTAATTGGAATAAAACTTTGTGACCAAGATAACAGAACATCGAAGACTTTATTTGAATCATCTTTGCCTCCATGTTTTAGGTCTGATAAATGTTTCAGCTTTCATTTATCTGGCAGGAGAACATGAGGCCGTGTCACTGATTTATGCCACTGACACTATTATCTCCTTAATGGTTTTGTCTCAGTAAGGTACTTAAACACATGCCTAACATTAAAACCAGCACACAGTGCCATTGACTCCAGTGGGGCTAGTGCTCCAAGGTAAACGTGCTCAAGTACCTTACTGATCAGGACCTGTATTCTTAGTAGGATTGCCAACAAAACCAAAGGAAGAAAATGCTTCAGAATTCAGAACTGCAAATCTCCAATCTCCTTTATATCCACTGTGAGCAGCGTCATGAACCAGCTTCCTCGTGGCCTTGCTAATATTAGTATCTGGAAACAAACCAGCTGAGTAAAAACTAACCCCAGGCAGGACTGCAAAGATGCTGATAGGACAAGGGGAGCACTTGGAAGAACCTGACTCTCTAGCACAACCCCCACCATCAAGGGCATCTGCCCTCAAATTGTCAAGTCAAGCTGCAGCCCTGGAGTCCTTTTGGCCTCTTTATTGCTACTGGGTGCTCAAAGAGACATGGTGGCAAAAAAAAATCACCCACTTCCCCCCGTGACTGGCCCGAAGATGCACTCCGTCCCATTAGACATAGTTCAGGCTGCGGAGATTGATGCATTTTAAGCCCCAAGCTTGTACGTTGTGACTCCTATCTAGGAATGAAACCACATACCCCCAAATGCGCCAAGTACCACAAAACACAGGAGCCCTTCTGCTTATTAACACAGGTGCCCACGAACACATTGCTTTGCGCGCTGTCTCCTTGGCTCCCCACTGAATCTAGAGTGCAGTTCAAGGTCTCTGTCCTGACAGTCAAAGTCCTCCATGGGATTGGCCCAAGCCACCAGAGAGATTGCTTCTTCCTCTCCCAGCCAGGCCCTCCACAACAGGTACCGTTCCTCCAAAACAACAGAACTGTCAACCAACAGGGGGACGCTCCTCAGCGCAGGAGACAAAGACTGGCTTCGCTCACACAACAGAAAGAAAGCGAGCTAGAGAGGAGTATGGGGGGAGGCGGGGAAAGAAACCTTTGCTGTATTTTATCATGCATGCCCCTCATAGCGATGCCAGTCAAGATCACAGACTGGGTATTTAAGAATACTTTAATGGAAAGGAAAGATCGGCTCTGACCCTTTGGTTCTACAGATCAGGAGTATACAGACTGTATTCTATACTGCAAGAAGGTCGCTTATCCACTAGGTCAAAGAGAGGCATGCAGGTGTGTGCTCTCCTCTTTACCCCTCTTCAGTTACTCAGCAGTTGTAAAGAGGTAAAGTGTGAGGGGAGGTTTAAGATCAAAGGCTGACTCTGTCCAGAACGTTATTGTGTTTTTCCAGTGTTGGGGGGAAAGGGGGCAGAATACATTAAAAAGAAACAAAAACCCACCCACCCAAATCCTTTGCCAAGTGTACAGGTGAATTGACAGGAGAAGGCGTGCGGCTGTGTTCGGAATTCCCTCTGTACCCGAGAGAGGTTTGAGCAACAAAATTTAGAGCCAAATGTGAGCTCCCCAGAGTTGGAGCTGGCCTTTTACAGCTATGGAGCTCGCTGCAGAGTTTGCATAGGTATGCTGGGGGGAGTCCAGCCCCCTTCCTGTGCATACTGCAGAGGGGTGAATACTATCCGAAGGGGGTTGTTGCCTGGACACTGAACTAGTCACCACTCCAAGCACAGCAGTGGGACAGGTCAGGGCCCGGGAAAGGGAAGTCTCTCTCACAGCCCAGCAATGCTCCCCCTGATGCCCAGATGGGCCGAGCTAGGACAAGGCTTCGTAGAGCAAAGGGACAAGGGGGGGCTCCGCAGGGAGGACCTGAGCAAACCCAGTCCGGCTGCTGCTGATCTCATTCCGGAGCCCGTGGCGGGCAGTGGCTGCGGGACCGCCCAGGGCTGGGTTACACCACCGGGGGCTGGGGGGCGTCGATCAGCCCCCAGGGACAATGCCATTTGCCAGCTGCCTCCCAGGAGGCGGCCAGCCCGGGCAGGGGCTCTCCCCGGCCACTCACCATGATGGAGAAGACGAAGGCCACGATGTTGATGGGGTACGCGGGGCAGAAGCAGGAGAAGATGCTGAGGACCAGGTAGTTCTTGGGCATGGGCTCGGCCTGCGGGGGCTCATGCTGGACGCTCGTCTCGGGGCTGCCGTGCAAAGCCCGCTTGAGGTCCGAGTTGGCGGCGGGTGCAGACATGGGCAGCGGCCGGGGCGGGAAGAGCTCGGCAAAAGGCTCCGCTCTCTGGGCTGGGAGCTCCGCGGGAGGGTCTGAAATCCCAGCGCCAGGCTCAGGGGAGCCGTGACCTCACCCCGCATCTCTCCTCCCCCGCCCCCGGCTGCAGGGAAGGGAGCCAAGAAAGTCCGCCCGAGAGACACGCGGCGCGGCGCGTTCGCAGCCGGAGCCTCATGCTACGCGCCGCGGAGCGGGGCACGGGGCAGGGGCTGCTCCCTCTTGTGACCCGCGGGCGAGCGGCCGTGGGGGGAGCCGCCGCCGCGCCCCCGCCCTCGCTCGCCCTGGGCCAAAGGGGAGTAAGCCCAGGGGCCGGGCAGGACAACATCGGAAGGGGGCGAACGTGTGGGGAAAGGGGGGCAGGGGGCGCAAAAGGGGGGCGGCGCGCGGGGCTGGTGCGTCTCCTTGGCGGGGGCCCCCTGCCCGGGGCTGTGGCGATAAAGCCACGATCCTAGCCCGGTGCTTCCGTGCCCGAAAAGCGGAACGCTAGAGATGTAAGTCACTGAAACTCCCCCCGTGAAACACGGTCTGAGGCGGCGCATTCCCTTCCCTGCCGGTGTCAGCAGCTTCGAGGAAGCCAAAAATATCAAACGTAGCCAGCCGCCGGCACGTGGGGGGAGCAGCCGGGCAAAGCCGGGAACTGGAAACCCCTCCGCGCCCAGCGGCCCCTTTGCACCTGGCTTGTCTCCCACGTGGCGAGAAGCCGGCAAGAAACAGGCACTTTGTTAGCAACCCAGGCCTGGCCGGGCTGGGTCCGAGCCAGGGTCTGTCTAGCCAGGGCCCTTGGCCCTGGCCAGCACCGGCTGCTTCAGAGAAAGGTGTAAGAGCCCTGGGGGTGGGAGAATCTGCCCCACACACTAAGGCTACATCTACACTACGGGGGGGGAGGTCGATTTAAGATACGCAAATTCAGCTACGTGAATAGCGTAGCTGAATTCGACGTATCGCAGGCGACTTATCCCGCTGTGAGGACGGCGGCAAAATCGACCTCTGCGGCTTCCCGTCGACGGCGCTTACTCCCACCTCCGCTGGTGGAGTAAGAGCGTCGATTCGGGGATCGATTGTCGCGTCCCGACGGGACGCGATAAATCGATCCCCGAGAGGTCGATTTCTACCCGCCGATTCAGGCGGGTAGTGTAGACCCAGCCTAAGGCTTGGTCTGAGCGCTAAGCCCCAGAAGTTGGGGTCTTAAACCCTGAAGGTTTAATTTCCCTACCACCACTTTATCCCCATGAATTGTAACAATTTCGGATATTCTTGTTATTCTCCGTAAAGGTCCAATCCCTTTGTGAATCTTTGCCTCTGTGCCTTCTGGTGGCCCCGAGTCCCACAGTCGAACGTCTTGTGTGGAAAAAGTATTTCCTTTTATCCCCTTTGAATGGTTCAGAGGAGCCAACACAAACCCCTTGAATGTAGAAGGCCCCAAACGTTTTGGTTGGTCTCAGCAAACCGACTCTTCCTGCGGATTGCTGTAGCCACCTCTGCACATGGGAGCCATACTATTTCGCTTTTTGGGTGGAATATTTTATAACTTTCAGAAAGGTCATTTATTTTTAATGAATAAAGGTCTGTTTCAAACATGCCCATAAAGCCATAATGGTTTTCAGGCTGATGAGATGAGACATGATAAATTTCATCCACACGTCATTCCGAAGCCAGGCCCCAGCGCTGCAATGTGGTGTTGATAGAGCCTGTACTGCTACAGCACAGTATCCACCCCCTACTAGCCAAACCGCTGCGTTCTCCAAATCCCTCCTTCGTCCCCCATGTGTCTCATGCTGGGGGACAAGGAAGGGATTGGGAGAGTAGAGCAGATACCCCCAGCCAGGAGGGTGACGAGGAGGAGAATGGAAGGGAGCCCTCTGCAGCCACATTGTCACAGGAGTGAGTGAGCGGAGCAGAGACCCCCAGCCAGGAGTGTGAGGAGCCGTCACTGGGGAGGCCATCCTGCCGCTGAATGGCTCCTGCCCTCTCACTTATCTGAACTCCCGCTTATCCCAAAGAGAATCTACATCATGCCTGCTGTCTGGGTAATCAGGAGTATACAGGGTCAGAGCGCGCCAGACTTGTACGTTGCTTTGCCTCACAACAGCCGGGCGAGGCAGGGAAGTGTTATTTCCTCTGAAAATCAGGTTGTAACAGGGGCAGCTCACGGGCAGACCACCCCCACTTGCGAGGATGCAATGTTCAGGTGTTCGTCCAGCGTAATGCCCCCTACTGTTCTGGGTCTACAGCAGACCACAGCCTATGTGGCCCTACCCTCCAGCCAGGTCAGCTTTCAAGTTCAGTCACTTTGGGGGTAACAGAAAAATCCAAACAGATGAACCCCCTGAAATTTAATGGCCTTTATGCTCAGCCTTCATCTTCCTTCATCAGTCTTTGCCTCTTTTATCCTGGGGATTTTGTTACTCCTCTTGCTGGGGGAGGGGATGGGGACCCTGCGTTAGGCATTAAGGATTGCTCCTTACACTTGTTGCCTGATTTTAGGGGCATAAATATGATTGTTTATACAATAGGCTTGCCAATTAATCCGATCAGAAGATAACAAGGTTCTCGTCCCAGCATCAGGTTACACAGAGTTTTGCAAGGACCCTCGGTTTGTATGACCAGGACACTCATGCTCAGTGCAAAAATACAGCCTCTAAGACTGTTATTGAGATAAATGGACTAGTAATCAAGAAAAAGTAACCAATCGGAATGACAAAGGAAATAATACTGTTAGAGACATAGGCGCCGATTCCGTGGGTGGAGCACCCACAGAAAAAAATTAGTCCCCGTGGTCCTGCCCTGCCCTCCAGCTCTAGCTGACCTCTGCCTCTGCCTCCTCCACGAGCGCGCCGCTGGAGGGAGGGGGAACGCGGCGTGCTGAGGGAAGAGGCGGGGCTGGGTCGGAGATTTGGGGAAGGGATCCAATAGGGGCAGGGAGGAGGCGGAGTTTGGGCGGGGACACTGGGGAAGGGGTTGGAATGGGAGTGGGGCCAGGGGTGGAGTCAGGGCGGGGAAAAGTGCAGGGGGGGTGCGGGCACCTATCGGCGCCGGAGAAATTTGGCACCTATGGTTAGAGGTACATGTGGTATTGTTTACTATAAAGCTTCCTAGATTAACATACTCACACCCTTCCTTGCTAACTTGGTGGTGAGAGACAAAGGACCAACCTCGCCTCTGGCATGCCAAAGACTCCGATGGTCCAGGTTCATCCACGCTCAAGTGGGAGATGAAGAATTTAGGAGCAGTGAGGGAGCTAGAAAGCTATAGAAAGACCCAAGAGAAACTAATTAAAAAGCTGATTAAAAAAACTAACTAAACATGGGGGTTTGCTCCTCGTAGAGAGCCTGAGCACTTTGTGCCCACCCTCCATGTCCAAACTTAATGTCCTCACCCCCATAATATCAGGGTACACTTATTTTATAGGTTGGCATGTTCATAAGTATTAATGACAATTAGCTCATCCTCACATGTGTTATTCCTAGCCTGAATCAGTTTGGTGGTGGTGATTTCCATGTTCTTTGTGGTGTACCTGTTAAGTTTATGGAGGGCAATCAGTCGGCCACTTATCTATGCCAAAGGTCACAAATATAAGTAGGCTAACTTACTTTAGCTCATCTTACAGGATGTGGCCTGTAGGTTCCCTGTGTTACTGCCAAAATACTCTAGTACAAATCCATAAATCTATTATAATAAAACAAACAACAAATCCATAAGAAAGGGTATAACACACCAGCAAGAAGGCTAGTCCTATGGGCTACGCAATCCACCATGCCATCCAGGGGCTGCTCTTACCTTTCCCTGTTTGCCAGGGTCTCTCACAGGGCTGCAGACTCTACCACTCCCACCCTGGGCCTTCTGTCTCCTGGGGCGGCTTCTTCTCAGTCTGCCACTTTCCTCAAGGCTCTCCGGCAGCCTCCTGACTCCAGAGTCTTCCCCTGCTTTGCCTCAAGCCTGTCTTTGTGGAAGGCCTCCCCCACTTTTCTCAGGTGGGCCTTATAGTAATTTGGGCCTGACACTCCCCCACCAGGGGTAACCCGGTGGGCTAATTAGGCCCTCAGGCTCCTGTTACCCTTTTATATGCCAGTGTGAGGCATATACCCCATCACAAGGTCCTACAGCGAGCCAGTGTCAGATCATCATGAACAGAACCAACAACCCTCACTTCCAGCCCTCTGCTCAACCTCCAGTGTCCCCCATGTGAACGGAGGAAAGAAAGTCTAAGAAATAATTTTCCAAGTTGGGTTGATTTGGAGATGAGAAGCCCTGCAAACTTTATCGCCACAGGATAGGTTTGCTATAATGGCCTATTTAGAAAAAGGGTTGTATGAAAGGCCTACCCCAGCATTCCTTTGTGCACCTAAAATTCCTGTTTCAGTCAGTGCATTTATAGATTCGTAGGCCAGACGGGACCATTGTGATCATCTAGTCTGACCTCCTAACACAGGCAATAGAACTTCCCCAAAATAATTCCTAGAGCATAACTTTTAGAAAAACAACCAAACAATTTCAAAATTGTCAGTGACGGAGAATCCACCATGACCCTGGTAAATTGTTCCAGTGGTTAATTACTCTCACTGTTAAAAATGTACACCTTATTTCCAGTCTGAATTTGTCGAGCTTCAACTCCCAGACATTGCATTGTGTCGTACCTTTCTCTGCTAGAACCCATTATTAAATATTTGTTCCCTATGTAGGTCTGAAATCAAGTCACCCGTTAACCTTCTCTTTGGCAAGATAAATAGATTGAGCTCCTTGAGTCTATCACTACAATGCAGGTTTTCCAATCCGTTAATCATTCTTGTGGCTCTTCTCTGAACCCTCTCCAATTTATCAGCAGCCTTCTTCAATTGTAGAATCAAGAATGGAACACAGGATTCCAGCAGCAATCTCCCCCATGCCAAATACAGAGGTAAAATAACCTCTCTGCTCCTACTTAATATTTCTCTGTTTATGCATCCAAAAATTTCATTAGCCCTTTTGTCCACAGCGTCGCACTGGGAGCTCATGTTCAGCTAACTATCCTCCATGCCCCTCCAAATATTTTTCAGAGGCACTGCTTCCCAGGATCAAGTTCCCCATCGTGTAAGTGTAGCCTACGTTCTTTGTTCCTAGATGTATACACTTCCATTTAGCCATATTGAACTGCATATTGTTTGCTTGAACCTAGCTTACCACGCGATCTATATTGCTTTGTATCAGTGACCTGTCCTCTTTATTATTTACCACTCCATCAGTTTTTGTGTCATCTGCAAACTTTATCAA